ATTTTTAAGCAGGTTTTGCAGCTTGTCAAGAAATTTAAGTTCTCTCGAACCTCGCTGAGAGATTTCATGGCTCTCGATGGTGTTTTTAGACATAAATTAAAAATGAATTTTGGAGTCTTCAGGCTGCTGTTATTTTATATATTCAAAAAGAAGGGGAAATTCCTGTTCTCTGCTGGTTTTTTCAGGCATTTCCAGGATTTGCCAAGTTTAAATCACACCCTGCTGATTCCAGCTCAAGGTGATTGTTGTTCTGGGGGGTGAGAGGAACAGAACTTTGAAAATTCATAAAATCACAAGGAATTCTCTGCTGAATTTACAAAGTGAATAAAATCTCAGTGAATTCTGGGCTGAATTTACAAAGTGAATAAAATCCCAAGGAATTCTGAGATGAATTGTCAAAATTAATCCAGTCCAAAGGAATTTTCAGCTGAATTTACAAAATGAATAAAATCTCAGTGAATTCTGAGCTGAATTTTAAAAATTATTCCAGTCCCAATGAATTCTGAGCTGAGTTTACAAAATGGATCCAATCACAAGGAATTCTCAGCTTAATTTTAAAAATTAATCCAGTTCAAAGGAATTCTCAGCTGAATTTACAAAATGAATCCAATCCAAAGGAATTCTCAAGTGAGTTTACAAAATTAATCAAATCCCAAAGAATTCTGAGCTGAATTTACAAAGTTAATCCAATCCCAAGGAATTTTCAGCTGAATTCACAAAGTGAATAAAATCCCAAGGAATTCTCAGCTGAATTTACAAAATTAATCCGATCCAAATGAATTCTGAGCTGAAATTACAAATTTAAAGTCAATTCTTTAAGGAATAATTTGCATTTAAAGGCCCCAAGGCTGTCCCGCCTCAGCTCCTGTTTTATCCCCTGGATCAGCTGGAAATGGGATCAGGGAGCTCCACAGCCTGGGATCCACAGATCTGCCCCCAAAACCCCAAATTCCATCCCTGCACCAGGAATGTTTGGGATATTTGGGATGGAAATCTGTGGCATTTTACACCTGGAGTGGCAAAATGTGTGGGAAAAGGGGAAAATCAGGGAAAAACAGAGAAAATCAGGGAAAAACTGAAATTCCTGGGAAAACCAAGGACAGGCTGAGCCTTCCCTGCTCCCAGTGGAGAGGGAAAAGCCAAAATGTGGGAATATTTCTGTGGGATGCAACCCCACTCTTGGATTTAATAAAATGTCACTGATGAGGAGGGGGGTTTTAATTTTTACATTAATTTAACTGTGATTAAATAATTAACCAGCCTTGCCAAAACCTTCCTCTGAGGCAAACATTCCTGGATAAATGCACAATCACACCTGGAATTCACGTTTTGGGCCATGGATCAGTAATTGATCCATTTTTGATATCAAAATTCAGGTTCTGCTGCAGGAACACCTCTGGTTTTAGGGAATTCCTGCACACCCTGAAGTTGATGGGGTGCACCAGGAGCAGGGAATGTTCTCCAGGATCTGCAGCTTCTCCTTGGATTTCTGCCCCACTGAGGGGGTGGCAGAGGGGACATGGGGACATCCCAGCGTCCCTGGGGAACATTCCCAATCCCAAATCCCAGAGACTGGAACAGAGCTCAGACTTTCCCAACCCCAATCCCAAATCCTGGGGATCAGAGAAGAGCCTGAACCTTCCTAACACCAATCCCAAATCCCAGGGGTTAGAGCAGAGCTCAAACATTCCCAACACCAATCCCAAATCCTGGAGCTTGGAACAGAACTCAAACCTTCCCAACCCCAATCCCAAATCCCAGAGACTGGAACAGAGCTCAGACTTTCCCAACCCCAATCCCAAATCCTGGGGCTTGGAACAGAACTCAAACATTCCCAATCCCAAATCCCAGGGGCTGGAGCAGAGTTCAAACATTCCCAACACCAACCCCAAATCCCAGGGGATCAGAGAAGAGCCTGAACCTTCCTAACACCAATCCCAAATCCCAGGGGTTAGAGCAGAGCTCAAACATTCCCAACCCCAATCCCAAATCCTGGAGCTTGGAACAGAACTCAAACATTCCCAACCCCAAATCCCAGAGACTGGAACAGAACTCAAACATTCCCAACCCCAATCCCAAATCCTGGAGCTTGGAACAGAACTCAAACCTTCCCAACCCCAATCCCAAATCCTGAGCAGGGTCTGAACTTCCCAACACCAATCCCAAATCCTTGGGAGTCAGAGCAGAACTCAAACATTCCCAACATGAATCCCAAATTCCAGGGATCAGAGCAGAGCTCAAACATTCCCAACCCCAATCCCAAATCCTGAGGGTTGAAGCAGAGCCAGAATTTGCCCAAAACCAATCCCAAATCCCAGAGAGCAGAACCTGAACCTTCCCAACCCCAATCCCAAATCCTGGATGTTGGAGCAGAGCAGAACCTTCCCAACACCAAATCCCAAATCCCAGGAATTGGAGTAGAGTCCCAACATC